GCAAAGATTGCTTCTGTCTATTTACATGAATTCAGGGGATTTGGGGGCTCAACATCCTCCTTTCCCGCAGCTGTGCAGTGGGAGCTTCCACTCTTGGTTTGCTGTTTTTTCTTCTTTCCTTTCCTCTGTTTTAACCAAATCTGGCGAAGGAAAGGAAGTGAAGATGCATACTGGTCCAAGGGATGCTTCTGACAGCATGCGGGATAGTACTCATCGATTCTTTGGATGTCTCTGGCTTGGGACTTGTTTCCAACAACTTCGCTTAAGGAGTCTGCCAACCTCTCTTCACGTGTCCTCTGTTTTCTTCAAACAAAAGCTGAGGTTTTTATGGACTATTTTAGGATTTTTATATGGGGCAAGGTGATTTTCTAAGCAAAGGGTTTTTATTAAACATTGGGCTTCTTAGTTTGGGCTTTATTTTGGTTGGATTGTTTTGCTTGGGTATTGGGCTATTTCCTCTCTTGTACTTACCCACGTTTGAGCCTAAGAAAATGGGCTTGAGTCCCGAGGCCCCCAAGCGACCCGAGACTTCCATTTCTCGGCCCATCAATGGGCCCCATGACAATTCGTTACCATTCATACCCCGGGCATTTGAGTGACTTGGGCCCACTTAAGCTTGTAGTGCGATTGGGTGTGAAATAATAATTTTCCGCTTGGCATGGCATGTTGCTTGGCATGCTTTTAAATATGGCGCTTGATAAGATAATTGGCATGGATTTGCAGAGCTAAATGCATTTTATAATTTTAATCTCAATTCCTAGCTCGACGGATTTTTTATTTAGCATGGCGTGCGAAGTATGACTCATGTATGTCATACTTTCATGTGCTCCAAATCGGATCTTTTTCTAATAATATATCGTCTTGGGCTAGAAATTTATTCGGACCCAACCATGGATTTTTTGGGCCTCAACAAGAGTCTTCTTCTTCTTCTCCTTTGCAAATGGTGAGATGAGTGAGGTATGAGGTTTCCAAAATGATATTTTAAAATTGTTTTTGAAATCTGCTTTGTTCTTCAAAATCTGCATATAGGATAGTTAAACACATTCTCATTCATATATAGTTCAGATTCTTGGATTAATTTCAAAGAATGGTTTCTTGAAGAAATAGATCTTTTATTCCTTGAATCTACATATTCATCAATCTATCAATACGGAGCTGAGTTGCAGTGTCATGGTGAAGAAGCTGATGGTCTAGCGGCCATTTGCATGAAGGATAAACTGCTAGTTCAACTAAGTTTGGAGGAGAATGTTGCACATGGAGGTAGCGCTCATTTCCTAAATAGACCTAGGATTGCTTGAGCTTGTGATTACTTTTTCTATAAGAACCTTCTTGATTTAGTAGATTGCCTGGTCGGAGTGATGACCCCTAATTTTTCCCAATTGTGGGTTTCTGGGTAAACATTTCTAGTGTGATTCTTTAATTTATATGCCTAGTCATACTGTATGTGTTATATCTAAAATGTTGATGAATGTTCACACACTTATCACTCTAGTTGTTGCTAGCACAGTGGATGACTAGATTAACGGGTCCTTCTGAATGTCTAGGTTATCATGTAGTTATCTTCTGGGCTTGCAAAGATTTGAATATTTGATATGTTGTGCATCTGTGTTATGCTTATATGTTCATAGATCTATGACTAGTTGTTGACTAGTCATATTATCATACATATGTCCATTTGGATTTTAATTTACCCATTACCAATTTCAAGTTGCAACTAAAAGTTGAATATGTTAGATTGGATGGATTCCGAGGAAATGGAGAGAGGAGACAAATCTACATACATGATTGATATAGATTCCCTTATGTGATTAAATGTATATTAAACCAAAGAATAGCTAATTAAATATACATGTGGGTGGCTAGACAATAATATTTAATTACTTCCTCCCACTTATATATACATATAGTACTCTCTATAGCAGCAAAATCAAACACTTGGATTAAAAATGGGAAAGCAGGTGGCAATTATAGGAGCTGGGATTAGTGGCCTCCTTGCCTGCAAGTACACACTTTCAAAGGGCTTTCAGCCTATTGTTTTTTAAGCTTCAAGCATCATTGGAGGAGTGTGGACAAAAACTGTTGAGACTACCAGGATCCAATCTCCTAAAGATTATTACCAATTCTCAGATTTTCCATGGCCATCTTCAGTGACAGAGGGCTTCCCAACTCAAAATCAGGTTTTGGATTACGTCAAATCATATGCTCAACATTTTGACTTGCTCAAGCATATCAAATTCAACACCAAAGTGTGTGGGATTGAGTATGAAGGGCCATCGTCTGAGGATGAGATGCAAGCTTGGAGTCTCTGGGGTGGCAACGGAGAGCCTTTCAGCTCCGAAGGGAAATGGAAAGTTGTAGCAGAAGACAAACATAGCCTCTCAACTGAGGTACAAACTTATATTACGTACATATATCCATGTATATGCATGATTCCGAGGTTATTTATGTTATGTTATATAACTGTCATCAATGTTTTAGACTTTAGTCTTACTTATCAAGTACGAACAAGCAGATTCACCTGGTGGACTTTGTGATCCTCTGCCTCGGGCGATTCAGCGATGTTCCAAACATTCCTGATTTCCATCCAAACAAGGGACCAGAAGCATTTCATGGAGAGGTAATACACTCGATGAATTATGCCGACATGGACTACGTAAGTGCGGCTAATTTGGTGAAAGGAAAGCAAGTAACAGTTGTTGGGTTTCAGAAGTTTGCAATGGACATTGCAATGGAGTGTTCAAATGCAAATGGTAATATAAAGATCACACAGAATTTGAATGTCACATGACATAAGGCCAAGTAGCACAGAAAATAGTTTGACCATTTTGTTCACGAGTTTGTGTTACATTTTCTTCTTAATTCATTATCTGGTGCGCAGGGGTTGAACTTCCATGCACAGTCATATACAAGACAGAACACTGGAACCTTCCTGACTATCTTCCATGGGGGTTGCCCCTGGCATACCTGTACTTTAGTCGCTTCTCGGAGCTCTTGGTTCATAAG